TAAAAATAGTGGTGAAGACTTATAATTTTGATTATGCACTTCTCTATGAGCTACTTGTCTATGATTCTTATTTGTGCTAACATCTGACCTAAGGGCCCTGGATATCAGAGGGTGGTTAAACATGGTGTCACTTGGAAGAGAACAAACGTTAATAAATTATAGAAAGTTTGCAACTTACCCCTTTAAAAACACTGCCAACAATCTGAGCACAATGTGAATTTTTACAATTCACCAATAAATCAAACAACATGCGCAAAAGCTTCTGCTGAACTTTTTCATCTGATATAGCTGCAAAAAATGGCTTTGTAATCTAGAGGAGGTAGAAAAAAGGCAATTGAGCTCAACAAATGGTAAATTCCAAAAACAACCTTTATACTGTTCTTTCTTACGATGTAATATTGTTCCCATTTTGTCAGCCAAAATAGTTTTATCACATGTTTATCACTCAATTTTGCAAAAACAGGCCAAACAGATCATATTCCTTTTAAAACATGTCCAGTCCACTTTAGCTTTTCCAAGTAAAACATTACAAAATTTTAAGAGCTTGAACATACTTTAGTTTCTGAAAAAAGTCACTGACCTTTTCAAGAGCTGTTATCTGAATGGTTGGCATTCCTGAGTAAAGTTCCTTTGTTGTATGCACAGCTTTTATAAATACATCTAGACTCTTTGGGTCCTTACGTAAAAGGGAAGCTGAATATTCATTATATTTTCCCAGAGTGAGATGTAAAATAATGGCCTCATCTTTCAGGACAGCTGTCGGTTTCTTCTGGATCTTTTCTAACAGTTGTTCAGCCATAGGCAACAGCTGAGAAAGCACCATCTAAAGTTTGGGAAATTTATTAGCAAACAGTTATCTATACTGACATATTTTTGCCTGCTTTACAAAGACACCCAAAGATAGGATGTTGCAAGACTGGGAGCTTAGCCTGGAGGAAAAAACCCAATTAAAGATGATCGCTTGGGGCGCCTGGGTGGCTCAGTCGTTAAGCGTCTGCCTTCAGCTCAGGTTACGATCCCAGTATCCTGGGATCGAGTCCCGCATCGGGCTCCCTGCTTCTTGGGAACTGCTTCTCCCTCTCTCTCTCTCTCTCTCCCTCTGTCTCTCATGAATAAATAAATAAAATCTTTAAAAAAAAAAAAAAGATCCCTTGGACAAGAGGAAGGCTATTTAATCCAATTAAGCATTCAGGTCCCCTCTGATAGTTCAGTTTATAATGGTCGAAAGCTCTAAGCCTTTCAGAGTTGAGGAGTAATCTGTGGGTGTCCCAAGACTTTTTCACAACGATACAAACAAGTTTTAAGACCACAAAAATAAATTTTAGCTTTCTCTAAAACACTGTATTTTCCTCAAACAGAACTTCCAAATTACGTATGTGAGGTCTTTAATAACTAAATCAAATGCCAGCACATTATGGCTTGTGGGCCAAATCCAGAGGACTACCCGTTTTTGTAAATTTTATTTATTGAAATAAAGCCAAGTTCATTTGTTTACATAACTGGCTCCAGCTTTCACAATACAATGGCAGAGCCGAGCACCTACAAGAAGAAATACTGTGGAGCCCACAGTGCCTCAAATATTTACTATTTGGTCCTTCACAGAACAAGACGGTCGATTCCTAGTTTAAATTACAAGGGATGACACAAAGCTGATAAATGCCAACTGTTTGCTGCCACCAGAAAAATCTAATTATGTGGTTTTCACTCCACTGTACCCCTGCTTTAGTTCTCCAGGTGGTAGTCAGTCCAAGACTGGTGAAGCATCCAGACTCTTTTGGAATAGTCTGCTGATCACACATGACGTCACATAAACAAGTGCTTCACAACCTCCTTTGTATTACAGGCCTCCCTGACAAAATAATGAAAGTTATGGGTTTTCCCCTATAAAAATGTTCAACCACACACATTTTATGAATGAACAAAGGATTCTGGAATGTTCACACTCTTATGTCCAAATGTATTACCTTGTGGAGGATTTCCACCAGAAGACAGTTTTCTCAGCAGTGCATCTTCAGTGTTTTTCCCCATTTTTTTTAAATTCACTTCAAATCAAGTAAATGATTAAATAGGGATAACACACAATTTTAAAATGGGAAAAAAAAACCCACCAATACTTGCTTTTTGTGTCCTCTGTTTCTACATCTCAACACTTCTCCCCTCCCAAATTAGAAAGAAAATTTTCACTTCTGAGTGCATATTTGTAACTCCTGCAAATGTTTTCCTCATTCATGAGCCAATACAATAGTGTTTAGTAACATTACATGGAACGTATAAGCCACCTGAATTGCACATACCTCATTGTTGACTTCCTGAAGTACTTTCACCAAATCTTTTGCAATGTAAGATGGGCAGCTATATACACAATTAAGTAGGTTTTTCAAAGTTTCAGATAACTTCTGATGAGATTTCAGTTTCTTTTCTCTCTGTAGTTCCTCAAATAAAGTAGCTAAATCCTAGGACACCAAAAAAAAAAAAAAAAAAAAAGGATAAAAAGGGTTACGGAACTACAAAGGCTAAATGGGCTAAATGTACTAATTATGAAAGATGCTTTTCCAAATCACGTAATACTGATAATCATTTTTCATTTCCCCTTGAAACCTTAACAGGAAATGGTATCAATATGTCTAAGTTAGCTTACTATCAAAAGCCAAATACTGACCTTTTAGCCAAAGAAAGCAAAGCAGAACTGAAACACTGTATTGCTATCTTTTAAAAAATGGGAGGAGAAAGTTGTGCAGATATTGACACCAGTTTCTAAATTCAGTGACTTAAGTCGATCAAAATCCCTACAAAGCAAAATGTCAAGAAAGGACGAAACTGTTCACAGGTATACACAGGCATGTGCACACGATCAATCTTTGCTGATGAGTTTACCTGAGCAACATAGGTGACATCTGAGGTGATCTCCTCTGTTTTAGGAACCAAATGATCTATTACCAGACGGAACTGAGACACCACTCCACTGAGGGCCTGGAGACAAAGAATGGAGGCCCTTCGTACTTCTTTTATGGGGTTTCCCAGATTAACGAGTAGAGATATCACCACTAAAACCAAAGAGAAAAAAATTTAGCAATTTAAAAAACTGATACAGTACAAAACTTATAGTACCAAAGGGTATGTCAAAGTTTTCCTCCTCACTGAAATTCTCCCCGAAGACCACTGTTTACTATTCTAGCAAAATGTTAGATATATGCCAGTATATCCTTTTGAAAACACACAAATGAGAGCAGGGCACACGATGTACACTCACAGACGCCAAGAAACGATCACATCTCAATTTATTTTGAAGTGTTTTCCACATAAGTGTGTGTGTCTAAATTAAATCATTCTTTTAAAACTGTATGGTTCTCCATTGTATTTTCTGTATTTTTTAAACCAGTATCTTACTGGTGAAGTTCAGTTGCTCTTTGTCTTTCAGCATTACAACTGCTACAACAAACACCTCTGTACATACATCCTTGTAAGTATGCAGAGTAAACTACCCATTGTGCATCAGGCTTTGCAAATATTTTGTCTTTAACAGATGTCTGAGTTTCTAATGGAGAGATTAGTCTAATTTTTCTTCTAGTTTTGTATGTTGCTTAGAGAGGCCCTCCCCACACTGAGTTGTTCAAGCGTCTATCTCCATATTTAGAGAGAGGCCACATGTACTACATGTCTCTTCTAATGCTAGAGCCAAGTTGTATGTGCGTGTGTTTTTTTTAATGTGTAATCTTTAGTTCACATGAAATTTTTGTCTAAGGAATAAGGTTGGAGTCAAACTTTTTATATGTTTCCAAATGGCTAGCCAGATGTCCCATTTAATAATCCACCTAAGAATTCTACAGCTTTATCATTTATACATTCTGTCAGTATCTGAAACAGCTACTTCTGCCAACTACTACTTCTAGAACCAAGTCCAGTAACAGTGATGAATTTAACAGGAACACTTTTGCTTCCCCAACTTTGCAGTGAAAATGCTAGCTTTTGGTTTGAGAAGTATTTTTATTACATCACTCTTATTTTGCTGTCACTTAATTAGAAGTAATGACTGATTATTATCTAATGCCTTTTCAGTTCTTTAGAAAATGATATGGACTTTCTCCTTTAACAATGATATGGCCAACTGTATTAAGAGTTTGTTATTTTGAACCAATTTTGTATTGTTGGAATGAACTCTTTTTGGGTAAATGCTTGCTTTTCAAAAATATGCTGGACTCAGTTTGCAAATATTTAGAAACTTTGCATTATTATTCAAAGCAACTTGGACTATTGTTTTGTTTTTGTCTGGAAGCACTGTCAATTTTCAATGTTATGCTTATTTTAGACAAAGCATCTGGAAGCTTTTCTTCATTCTATGCCCTGCTCAGTTCAACAGCACTGAAAAACCTGCTTCAAAAATCTGGTAGAATGCATCCATAAGATCAACTAGGTTGGGGTTTTTTGAAAAGATGTCTTTGGGATAAAAAGATACCTAAATTCCTTTTATGGTAATTAGTTATTTAAGCTTTATTCTGTGCTATCTACTGAGACAAGTTGTGGCGACTTTTATTTTGCTAATAATGATCCATTCCATATATTCCACTTCTGGAATGCTAAGAGCTCAACAAATTTTTGAACTTTTCTGAGAAGGTAAACTGAAAACTGGAAATCTTTCCTGGTCTCTGTAATGCTAACTCATAAAGTCAGAAACAAACAGCTGTAAAACTGAATTCACACAAAGGGCAGCTTCAGGCCAAGATATTATTTGCTAAAATTCCCTGTATAACTCAAAAACAAATTCAAAGTACTAAGTACTTTGTTCAAGTAACATACTGGAACTCAAGGTAAGCAAAAACTACCTTATTTAAACAATCAGCTCTTAGGAATATTCTTCCATTTAAAACTATGTGACTTCATTCTCCCAACTCATTTTATTTATATTTTAAATAGCATATTTTACATAAAAATTGAAAAAAAACTGAGCTTTGGTTTTAAATATATAAATTTACTATACTGATCAGGTATTAAAAAACCAAAGGCAGTCTACATCTTTTTACAAATGAGGTTAAATGTTTATTCATCTAACAAAATTTCCTCTACGTAACACTGAGCTGGAGTAAGTATCTGCACAGAAAGTAATAAATGGTGGTTAGATTCCCAAGCCCCTGATAAAGACTTAATTCATATAACACCATGCTATATTAATATGGCAATACCTTTTTCTTTTGAAAGGCATAACGTTTTTTGTAAACAGATTAAAAGAAGTACCAGCCAACACTTCCTGGACTCCTCACAGACAAGGAAGGTATGCATAGAATCTCACTGCATACTCAAAGAAGAGAGCACGGAGGACAGATGCAATGGCTAAATGACCTTCCACTTTAGGCCCCCTGGGACTCTAGTGCGCAGTCCTTGAGCTTCCCAGTAGAAAAAGGTGCATCTCTCCTGTTTTCAGTGGAGTACTGTGACATTTCTAAGCAGTATAAATGCAAAAGTACTTTAGGAAGAAGGGAGGTGACAGATGACAAGGCAGCAGGGGGAGGCAGGGAGCCTATCTTGCAGCAAAACTGGGGAAAAGTTAAGTTTTTTGGTCCTGGAGACATACATTCCTCAGGAACCACTACCTTTGATACCAAAAGATAACAGACATTTCATACTTAGTTAGAAAATCAAAATAGTTATGACCTCTAAATAAAATAATCATACCTTTATGAAAATTCCCAAATTTAACAGAAAATAACCATTTTAATAAATCATGCTATTTCCATTCAATGGAATAGTCTGCAGACATTTTAAATTTTTATATAAAGTATTACTATAAAATACTTGTAATACTTATAGTAATATTTTTATTAAAGAATTAAAGTTTAAAAAATGTACAGGAGGGTCTTCTCATCCAAAGGGGAAAAAAACTGAAAAAACCTTCTTAAAATAAGTTACCTAAAAACACAGACTGCAATTTTATAGTAAGTAGTAAAGAAATAATTATATTCATGGGATTTTATTTTGTAAGTAAAACATGAAATCTATGTATGTATGTTACCTTGTGTTTAACAAAATTTTGGTTACAATTACGTGCTCTTTCACAGAGCTAATGAAAGATAAACATTGAGAAACTGTTTTGGGAAGAGCATATGATCATTCACTTTACTTTCACAGAACATTTATAAAAAGCAATTTTAGAATTAAAAAAAAATCTAGAACACCTTCAAATTTCCTAAGGGTCACTCTTATTCCTTTGACATTAAAATATTCCAGTTTGAAGTATCAATCATATCCATCATCCTTATCAGTTCTCTCATCTTTAATCACCACAGGGTCTAATTCTACCAGATTCTCTAATTTGTCAGTAGTTTGTAAGGTAGTTTTCAATATCATGTTCAACTTCATGAAATTCTGTATCTTTTGCAAAATTTGCTAATTTCACTTTATCAAAAAATATAATTTTGGGTTGTTGTATTAGTGAGTGCCCAACCTGAAGATGACTTATACCTGATAAAAGAGACAAATCCAAAAAGGTTGTCTGAGTGGAGACCCACTTTATAAATAGTTAGATGAATACAGAACTATATTAAATGGTCTGGCTTCTCCATATAACCCTGTACTGCTGAAACACAGAACATCAATAGTTGGATATTAACAACCCATGATTAATCATCTGCCATTTCTACTATCTATTTTGGTGATTAGAAGTAGTTTAGAGAGGGGCCTCTGGGTGGCTCAGTTAGGTGTCTCAGGGTCCTGGGATCAAGCCCCACATCTGGCTCCCTGCTCAGCGGGGAGTCTGCTTCTCCCTCTCCCTCTGCCCCTCCCCACCTGCTGGTGCATGCGTCCTCTCTCTCAAATAAGTAAAATCTAAAAACAAAAGTAATTTATATATACATATATACAATTTACATGCATATACATAAACCACACATACACAGAGAGCAGAGAGAGTGCACGCACTATTTAAAAAAAAAAAATTAAGAAGACACTCTCCCAACTACAACCTACATAAACTACATGTAGAGAAAGCATTCAAGTTGGCCATGACAGAACGTAACAGGCTACTCACGATACCTGGAGAAGATACAGATGCCAGCTGATGTTTATTCTGTGCCTTCTGAGCAGAGAGCATCTCACAACCTACATAAAGAGCTTGAGTCTGCAGTGCTGTTTTCACAGTGCAGTTAAGTGGATTTGAAAGGCTAGACCCGTATGTCCATAAAACAGAAAAGAACTTGAATAACTGAAAAATATCTTCTAGATGCACCTAAATTAAATAAACAAACAACAGTGAAGTTTAATTTTTACTCACATTTAGTTGGTTTCAAAGCCTCTTTTCACTAGTATACAATTGCAGAAAACAAATACTTTGTTGCAATGATTTGCCTTGTCCCACGACTTAAAATTTTCCGTACTCATTTTAACCAATGAGAAGTATGTAAATGAATCCAAAGGACTCGCTGTAACTTTGCATTTGAACACACTGAACAATAACAACACGAGAAACAAAATAAGCAGAAAACCAAGACACATGATGCTGGGGAAGCCTCCTTAAGAAAGAATTCCAAGATGGAGTAAGCGTCACCAACGGTGCCAAATGCTGCTGAGGGGTCAGTGAGACAAGAACAGAGACTTGACCGCTGGCCTGGCAATACGGAGGTCACCGAAATTTCTTAACTTGAGTTGCATATGCTAACTCACCCCCCTGAACAGCAGTTTCTCCTTGGTAATGGAATTGTGATTAGTAAATACATCATAGGCCTAACACACTAGTAGGCATGGGGCAATATTAGTCTCTGGCCTACTGACTGGTGTCATGAGGATACCGCTACTTCATAGGGCCTGTGTACATTACCACATATGCTTCACTGTTTAAAAATCTACTTTCATTTTCATTAAAAACTGCCATAACTAAAATGCTCTGCTCTATCTTCTGAAAGGGAAGAGTACGCCTGAAAAAGATGAGCCTAGTACCTTTATGAAAAGTTTCATCAGAACCCTAAAATGAATGGCATCAGCACCATGGAGTATCATCTCAAAGAGTCCAATAAGCAAGCGCAGAAAGGCTCTGCTGTCTTCTTTCAGCTGTTCGGGATTCCACCATATATCATCTACATGGACATGAAGAGAAAGAGAAACAATGAATAAACTTATGTGAACACACTGGTGGGAATTTTCACTCAAGACAGAATAGTTGTGGAGATAATAATTCAGTTTTCTAGAGTATCACATTCAAAAGTCACACTTTGTCCTACCTTTAGGAAAAGATTTAGGAGCCTTTAGTGCTTGAATAAAATTTTTCAGTGAAAATATGAGTAAAACAGAGTCCTCCACAGCAAAACGCCGGGCCGTGTTGAGCTGCTCTATGTAATGTGCCCACAGTTCCACTGGTATCTCTCTGTCCAGCATCAGCTCAAAATGCCACTCTGAGGGGATTTCCTGAAATGGTAAAGGAAACAAAGAGCATAAATATGAAGGCGTTCTGAACATGGGCTATACCCAGAGGACCTGCAATGGATAAATGATTGGGTAATATGCAAAAATTTTGTCTCTCTGTGCATTTAAGTGAGGAGAGGATTATTAGCTTTAACCAAATTTGTAGAGAGGTTCAACCATCACTATTTACAAAAGAAGGATACAAATAAATTATCCACAGCTTCATTTTATCTATATTTTCTTGAAACATATCTAAAAACAAATGTTATCCATATAAATTGTGTTTATCTAGTGGCACATTTCTACACAGAAAGGAGTTGGAGCTCCAGGAGACCCTTAAAGGACCTTTCTCATGTCACACACTTCTAATCTGAAGAAGGTGCACGGTAAAATCTCCAAACTTGGAAATAGTTCTAAACAAGTAGCAAAATGTGAGGGTGTTTAAAATTATACTGCAGATACTAAAAAGCAGCGTGAGAAAACATGAAGAAAAATGATAAACGAGACTCTGTACAGGAGTGTGCAAAGTAGTAATTTAGAAGGAAAATAACCCAAAGCCAGACTTTTGAGAAAATGTCTCTAGTGAGGGATTTCATTGGCTCAATGCGCTGCTGCAGCTGGAAAGAGACTCAGGACTCTCAGAAAGGGTACTAAATATAAAACAGCATATTATCTGCACATATATAAAACACTCCCTTTGTTCACACTTTTAACACCAAGGGCAAACACCATTCAGGTTATCACATTCTACAAAGAAATTAAGAAGGGCTTATCTGGGCTACTTTTTAAAATATGAAGATTCACTCTTTTGTATTTTTTTCTAAGATTTTTACTTATTTATTTGAGAGCAACAGAGAAAGAGAGCACATGTGAACGGAAGGGAGGGTGAAAGAATCTAAAGCAGACTCCACACTGAGCGCAAAACCCAAGGTGGGGCTCTATCCCATGACCTGAGATCATTACCTGAGACAAAACCAAGAGCTGGATGCTTGACCAACTGAGCCACTCAGAAGCTCCGAAGATTCCTGCTTTTAAAGTTTACATAATTTTAGGTAACAATGACTATGGCTAGAACTTGTAAAATCCTGAGGGTATATGTAAATGTAAGAAAGATGTAATTCGTTCAGCAAATCCTAAAATGAGGAGCCCTCTGAACGTTGGAGGACAGATAAAAACAAAATACTATTAAAGATATTAAAAGAAATAATCTTATTACCTCAGGATGTGATACTAGGTAAAAATACAAACAGTTGAAATGTGTTCCTTAGCCAATACTGTCAAAGACAACAGTAAGCTGGTGAGATCCAAATCTGATGTAGTTATTAAAATAATACAAAAGATCAATTCTTGGGGCACCTGGGTGGCTCAGTTAAATGTCCGACTCTTGGTTTAGGCTCAGGTCATGACCTCAGGATCATGCGACCATACCACACAGGGCTCTGTGCTCTGCGGGGAGTCTGCTTGAGATTCTTTCCCTCTCCCTCTACACCTCCCCTCGAGCATACTCTCTCTCAAATAAATAAAATCTTTAAAAAGAAAATCAATTCTTTTTAAACAACAGAATGAAGTAATATTTTGTTCAAGCACTAACAAGCCTAGTGAATTCTTCATCACAAAGGGTACTTCAATATAACTCAGATAATTACTCAATAAAGATAATACAGGGGAGAGTCAACTATCAGGTACCACACATCACAACCCTGAAATTCTATAATTCAATTAAATTTTCTAATTCACTACCTATTGCTACCCAAGGCTGCTTCACATTTCACCCCTAGTATCCAAAGATTTAGCATTTCAGCCCCCAATTTTCAGTGTTGCTGTGATTAACAAGCCTGGCTGCCACTTTATGCAATGTTCCAAAGACTTTGCACTCCTTACCACTGCAGTAATGATACTTTCAAGCTTCTTTATTTTTTTTTGCAACAAAGTGAAGACTCTTATCGCCAATGGAAAGTGAGTTTCTTTTAAAGATGAACAGCAAGAAACAAGCACAGCCATGATCACGTGAAAAGTCACTTTCTGCTTCAGGCTAAAGCACTCCTTTTCCCCAATGCTTATTAAATCCTCCACCTTGAAAAATAAACATACTCCATTACTGGTAGCTCTTAGTTTGAATAAAACTATGTTTTCTACCTCAGACCTACCTATTATGTGTTTTAAAGTGGGATGACAAATATAAAGCCTTTAAAAAGTAGTAAGCACTGATTTCTAAGTAATAATAAAATAATTTCAGAATTATAATGAATGTAATTGCATCTGGCAACTGGATAAATGCTTTAGAATTATACACCTAATACCTTGACAAAAGTTTATTTACTAACGCAAAAAAGATAAAAAATCCTTTTAGATATTATGCTATTTTAACAAAAAATATGACTTTATATTCTAAATGACAGGAAACAGAAAAGCGAAGAAGTATACACTATTCTTACTAGTCCAATGTAAAACCACAAAAGTTATATAAAATGTGAAAGATTTTAAACAATCTGCAGAATATACTATGTAACACTATACATGCTTAAAGCATAACAAAGTAGCATAACAAAGTAGTCAAAAAATGCAAAATTATTTTAAAAAATCTAGTAAAGCAAACACTGAGAATCTAATAAAATTACAACAAGCCCAGGGGTGGTCTTTGACAGCATACGTACCATCTTTAACATTGAAGAAGGATCCCCTGAACTTATGTTGTCAGCCAATAACGCAATTATCTTCTGATTTGCTACACCAATTAGTTTTCCTGACTCTGTGTTTTTAATCACATTTTCAAGAGCTGTTAAAAAAAAAAAAAATGAACACAGAGGACACTTATATCACCAATACTCACCTAAAGAATTCTGTAGAGTAAGAAATTTAGGCAAAAGTTTCACAGTTTTCCTATGAAGGTTTGCTCTCTATTTTTCCTTTTATCCAATTCTGAATCTGTGGGTCAGCTTCCTTTTCATTGTAGTTGACTGTCCAAAAACATGGGGAATAGGGTTGCCAATGCCCCTCCCCAACAGTCCAAAATCTGAATATAACTTCTGACTCCTCAAAAACTTAATTACTAATAGCCTACTATTGACCAGAAGCCTCAACATAACATAAACAGTTAACACATCTTTTATATGTTATATGTGTCATATACTGTATTCTTATAATCATGTAATCTAGAGGGGAAAAAAGTACTATTTAAATAACCATAAAGAAGAGAAAATGTATTTATTGTATTTATCAAAAAATACCTGCACTTGTGAATCCATGCGGTTTAAACCTGTGTTGTTCAAGAGTCAACTGTAGGTTTTTGACCTTGGCAAAAATTTTTAAAAATCTTGCTGACACAGATCATAGCAAACATGATTTCAAATAATGATCAGAGTCACCTTTTAAATGTACTTATCTTCTTTTTAAAGTTTTTTTTTTTTCCTCAAAGGCAACCGGATTTCTTACCTTCTTTCCAGCCTCTTAATATAGGGTGCAGAGAGCAAATTCCTGATTTCGATAAATATATAGCAATTTTCATATCAGCAGATTCCATATCATCATTGACAATAATCATAAAAGGCAGCAAATGTACCACCACCTGATTTGACAACTGATCATTTTCACTCAGTATCTCTTCCTTAATTAGTATGTCTGCTGCTACCTCAAGTACCTTGTACCTGAGACACAAACACATTTGGTTGAGAGACCCATTAGAAACTTAAATTAAATTCAGCAAAAAATTATTAATTGTTCCCACTCAACTGACACTATCCTGATCTCCTCACCAAACATGTTATTCAGAGATACCTAGACAATCACTCAAAATCCATGCTAATAAGGGAGCTATTTGGAACAGTAATTAAACTGCTAATTCTCTCAAATCCTTTTTTTTTTTTGAGAAATCATTAGGTTAATTTTAACATAAACCATGTATCTCACAATGTATCTCAACTCCACCAGAAATCAGGGATTCACTCATAAGTTAAAGAAGCATCTGAACACACAGTATGTGCTAAGAACTAAATATGACAGATACAAAAATCTGTAAGACATGCTCTCCTCCCCCAAAGAGCTTAAGTCATTTTTTCCCCCATGCAAAAAGCTTAGATGCCAAAAATGAAACAACTAGAGCTCATCAAACAATACAGAAGGGGACCATGTGACTCTGAGCTTATTTTAATATGTTTACTTTTAATTATAAAGTAATATACTATCCTTGTAAAAACAATTAAATAGAATTATATAAAGCAGAAAATTAAAACTACTTCCCATCCTACTTTCCAGATTTCAGTTTTATGTCACCCATTACATACTCCCTCCACTTTAAGAAAAATTTCAAACACAGAGAATAGTATAATGAACCCCCACAAACCCTAATTCTTTTTATAATGCAAGAGTTACACTATGAACCATTCCACTACCATGACCAAAGGGCTATGTAACGAAATTATAAGATGCAAAAATGTAAAGAAAAAAAAAAAACTGAAACTGATATAGAACTGTCAATTCAAAATAGTATGAGGAGAAATGAATATATACCATTCTCTATTTTTTGAAAGTTCTGCTCTTCGAAAGAGGTTGAGAAGATTTGAAACCGTTACTTCCGAACTAAAGTGTTGTTTGAAAATCTAAAGGGGAAGAAACGTACGTAAGTAAATTTTCACTTGCTTCAGATATATATGGTGCTTGTTAAATGAACTTTAAAAAATACTGAATTATAAAGAATTTATCTCCCAACAGTCCTCATATAATTTCAAAGCTTTATGAGGGTAATTTCTCCAAAGTGGCATTTATGAGACAATTTTCCATGATCCCAAGGTATTTACTATTGATAAAAATTCACAAAGTGCTTCTCCCTTTTGAAAAACTTCCATATACATAAAGCTGTGCAGTCTAATTTTTCCCATGAGCTTTCCTTAACCGGGCTTAAGTCTATGCTCTCAAGAGAACAAATTTCCAATGAAGGAATAATTTCCAAATATGTTCCTGCCTAGAGCAGAGAATCACCTGGGAAGGGCAAGAAAATATTTACAAATTGTGTATTTCAACAGACAACAAATTCACTCACCTTAAAAGCGTTTATAGCTGACAAAACAACATCTATGCTATCATCACCTAACCGGGTCAAAACAGCTTCTTTTATGAAAGACTCATCGACACTCTCCTAAGCAAGAGAAAAAAAATATATAAATTTGGTTGTTGCCAAAACCTCCTAAGAGTTTACACTAGAAAGAAAGCTTAGTTTTATGAAAAGCACTCCAGATTATCAGTCAAGAAATACAGGCTCTGGCCTGAACACAAATTCAAACACTCCAAGCATACTTGCACTGAACTAGATAATCTCTAAAGGGCCTTTTTAGATGAGTAATTATTTGGTACAAACTTTTCCCAGTTTCTATTCAAAATACCATAAAATATGTATAATCTGAACTTAATCTTTGCATTAAGAAGTTTGACTTGTTAAACAAGAGCCCGGATACTGAGAGTACATAGACTGAAGAACCAGAACATCTAGGTTTAAATCCTAGCTCCACCACCGACCAGCTGTGTGACCTGCAACAAGTTCCTTAACCTTCCCAGGTCTCACTACTCTCATCCCTAAAATAGAGCTAATAGTAGTACCTATCTGAGAGGACTGCCACAAAATGAAGTAATACATGTCAGTGCTTAGAACAAGGCCTTACACATTGTAAATACTGTTAAAAGTTAGCCATCATTATCAAGATTTTTACAAGTATATCGGCTGAGAAGCCAGTTGCCAGTCTGTCAAAAAGAGATCCTATTTTTCTTCATCAACAAAAGAAAATAAAGCATACAATCACTCAAAGTAATGGAAAAGTAAGACTACAAGCCAACCTAAATATATCCCTACCTGTAGGTGGTGGAAAAAAATATAAATAATGCTACAAAAAAGTACCAGGGCACTCTGTTGGGAGATAAAACCAAAATCCCTAGAATTTACAAAACTGAAGTCCAAGTCTGCTGTATCAAACGTCGCCAAAATTTTCTCTAGAGCTAACAAGTAGCCAAATATCCCAATCAGAAATTTTAGAATAGAATCTATGTTCTATCACTGATGGAGAAGGGAAAGTGAAAGCAAAACACGCAGAGAAAGACAGTAACTGTAGTTACAATACTTAAACCTAAAAGGTGGATATATATACAGTGCCCTTTATTGAAAAACTAACCAGATCCAGAAAAAGACAGGGGAGGAAGGGATTAAGAGTAAAAGAAGGCTGAAAACAGCTTCAGGAGTATTAGGAGCTTCCAGGAATCCCTTTTTCATTCTAGACACTGGAATCTTCCCATCACAACAAAGACCAGTATTCAATAGTTTAATTATCAAAAAAAAAATCAGTAACACACACTTATCAGCAGTTTGTGAAACATAACTTATGCCAGATCAGAAATGAATCAAATCAAGCAAGAGATTATAAATCTGAGTACTACATCAACCGTTTTTAAAGAAATATTCTCACAGATCCTAATGTTTTTATTATTTACAGATCATTTTAAAAATTAAGTGACTCAAAAATATAAAAATATTAAAAATACAAAACAAAAATTTTTAAGTCCAATATTTAAAAACCCTACAAAACCAGTAAAACTCAAATTGAAATGAATTTACTATGGTAATTATGATTAGCTGAAATTAAATTCTACTTGTGATGTGAATCTGGTTCTACCAACCATGACGCAAGTTTGAGTTCAGCATGTTTATATTACTATGTGCCATGGGGAAACAACTCTAGGACCACTTTTCTTTATTCCAGAAATTTTCTAAATATGCAAATAGTAGTACATATACAAGAGGATTTCAGATATCACACAGATGAACACTCCCATTTCAATTATAGTAACTACAGTAAAATATCTATACCAATTAGTTCTTCAAACCCGTGATTCGATGGCTATGTAAAAAAAAAAAAAAAGTCCATTTAAAAGCGGGAGAAAAATTTTTAGAACATGGTATCAGCAGTAAGCAAACACAGCAAAAAATCATGAAGGTATTGTCTGAATGGCTTAAGTCTGAAAAATACTGCTTCATTTCAATCATTACAAAGTCTCTGTAAAATACCATTTTGGTATAAAGACATTATTTACAAATTAAGTCAGCCTTTGTACTTACTACTTGCAGCCACCACAATGTGAAACACAAATACAACTGCAGGTACTGAGATCATGGAACGGTGTTCCAAAACCTCTCATTCCCATGTCCCCAAATACACTCATGCTGACCTTGAGACTATCAAAGTCAAATTTCAAAACTAAAACATTCTCAGATAATTTGTGAGCCTCTGTAAAGGATCTAGAAATTCTAGTCTGAAAACACTTTAATAATCTGCAACATGGAAACATGTGAAGATAGTTCTTATTACAGCACACAAAGGTTAAAGTGTTGGCTGCTGGCATGTGTATGGTCCTAAATCTTCGTCCAGTGCACTCTCATCTGCTTTATTCATCTTATGTCTGTAATTACACAGTATCAATTGTAGGTGGTAACTTTAATTTCTTACTCTAGAATCACACTGTTCACAATAAGGATAAAAATACCACAAATGAAGCTATTTGACACAAACCTCTGATGTTTTCATGATATTTTTCAGATGATTAATGGCCAGAAGTCTCACAGGAGCAAGTGGATGATTCAGACTGAGCATCAAGGAGGTATCAGAATCTGCTAAAAACTACAGGATTCATCACAATCACCAAACGATTTCACCATTAAATCTGAGCAGCATCTGATCAAAATTAAGAACTAGAGAAAACCATCCCAAAATACCCAACATATTTGATAACAATCATCTAATTTCAGACACCAAGAAGTAAAGTAAAATCTTTGTCTCTAGAACATGGTATGAGTTACAACAGATGAACAAAATGTGTATTATTAATGTTGTGATTTTGAGTACCCTCATGGCTATGGGTAGGTTTATTTAGCGAAGCAATTCTATGAAGTAACTTTGCATTCTTTATGTAGATCTGACTCCAGACTGAGAAGTACCTAAAATAAATCATTTTATTAGCACCTAAATGAAAATATAAATTAAAAAAATTGGTCACTAAAGACAAAAAGCAATTCGTCTAAATGCTACAACGACGGTCAAATTTATGACAAGTTACTTCACTTAGTAATCAGACTAAGAAGGAAATCTGTCTACCATTCTCAGATTTGGAAATGAAACGCCATTAAAGATGAAAGTCTAATTATGGAAGAGCAAAACCAAAACAATCACATTTCTTTTCATAATATTTATCTTCAAGGTTATTTGTAAGAACTGCTTAAGTGTCTCACTTCTAGTAGAAAGATTTAGGGTGAATCACCAGGAAATTTCTAAGTTCTAACATGCTCATGAAATTAAAATCCCCCTACTCTTTCTAATCAGTGACTTAAATAGCCACATGTAGCTAGTGGGTACTGCACTGGAAAGTGCAGATATGGGAGAAAAATAAGGACACGCTGGAAACTAAGTGAAGCCACCTTTTAGTGATTGCTAATGACCATTTGTTAACATTTCCAAATAATACTCTTCCTGAAATACATATCCCATTCAGTTAAATTACTGTGCCCTTTTCCAATGATTCAACCCCTGCCTCACAGCCTTACTTCAGGGAACTAGGTAAACTGTATCAAATCTCATCTGTCCATTAAACTTTCCACAGAAAGGTGTGACATAGCAAATTTCCTTCCAGACCTCTTCAAAGAGCCACACAAATATACCCGTAATTGTAGTAATTTCTCTGAAGGAAAACTTACTTGATACTTTCCTCCACTTGTAGAAAGAGAGATAAACTGATGAAAAAGTTCTTGTTTTTTTAGATCTGTAATTTCTTTTAGGCGTTCCTCTAGTACAACATCTAATGTTCTGGGATATCTAGGAAGAAATTAGTGAGTTAATTATTCTTAGTGAAGTTACTGACCACACGCACCATACACATATAAAAAAAACCATAAAACTTAAAAAATTACTGAGACTTACAATTTTAATAAATGGTATACATAAAACCAAATGATGTTAATCAAGTATGTTACTATGCACTCGATCTTAGCCAAAAGGCCGAGAAGCAATCAAGTTTGTTACTTTGACTACTGCAACGTCTCTCTATAAAAAAAATTATACTCTCTACAGTCTCCACACAGCCACTATTCCCTATATGAAAGTCATATTTCAAATACACCTAAATCCCCCACCTGTCTTCCTCAAGGCGGCAGGGGGGAAGGACAGCCTCTTTACAATTCATTCACTTTATTATGACGTGACCTGTGAATCTTCTTTTTATAAATCAAGAGGCACACATTAGAGAAGGGCAAAAACACACAACTTACTTGCTTTCTAGAAGTCTGATAAGTGGAAGAAACTGTTCATTAAGCAAAGATACTTTATTAGGATCGATTTCTTCCTGTGAACTATATGAAGTGTACTCTTCAAAAAGAAGGCTGCAAAACAATACAAGTATCACCAGACATGAGAGCTACTATTTACTGAGTACCCATTATGTTCTAGCTGCTTTAGAAATATTATCTGCCACACTTCCACAAGGTAGAAGTCATTCTTACTTTACGTATACAAAAACTGGGGCTAAGAATTCTTGTAATTTGCCTGAGATCAAAGGAGAACCACCAGAGCCAACACTTAGCGAGCCCTACTGGGCCGTTAAGAGGTAGAGCGGGTTTTCAACCCGTTTGATCCCGGGACCCGCACTCTCCACAGTACCTCCTGCGTATATTCTAATTCACAAGCCAACTCTGTGAGCAAGGGGCATGAATGACACACACCAGCAGACAGGCCAATGTCACCCAACAGCAAAACCAGATCCAGGCAGTCTGACCTTCAGAATTTACTACTCTACACTCCTGGAAATGAGAGAGGCAGGATTCAAGCCCATGTCTGACTGCAATGCCTACATTCTTTGCACTTGTATCAAGTTGCCCTTTAAGTAAAAAAAGAAAATGGGAAACTGAACTATCTTTACAGAAAAGGAAGAAATAACCTTTATTTCACATCAACCCTCAGTATTAAGTTTCTAGTTGATATTTACTAAATGCCAACTGTGAGGTATTGTTTCAGGCATTTTGATCATTTATTAATAGGAAACAGCCACTAGTTACATGTAGCTATAACCCAAATTTAACTTAACTATTAACTTTCCATGATCATACATAAGCACTAAAGAGAAATTACTTTTTCCTTCTATTGCCACAATTATTGCACTAAGTACTTATAATTAGTGAAATGATACTGACAAATCAAGAAGTACATCATACAGACATACTGGAAAACTGCTAGCCAATTCTAAAAAGTATACAAAACCACAAAAATATAAACCAAAAGCATGTCAGAAATAATAACCTTACCTAGCCAAAAAACGGTCTAAGTTGTCCTTCAGTGATATATTTGTAAGTATGGCTTCTAAATGTCTCCTGTAGATTTGACCATCTATCCCTTCAGTTTCTTCTCCTTTAGGATATAACATAAATTAAAATTGATTGGGAAAAGTTTTTTACACTTACATTATTAAATTTATTTACAGCAGAAGACCCTTCTATAGGAGTAACTTTAAACCATATCCATCCATAACCAGCTTTTTACCTGTTTATAAAAGTGTATTTTACCTATTTATCCATTTATATATATATATTTTTTAAAGATTTTTTATTTATTTGACAGAGAGAGACACAGCGAGAGAGGGAACACAAGCAGGGGGAGTGGGAGAGGGAGAAGCAGGCTTCCCATTGAGCAGGAGCCCGATGCGGAGCTCGATCCCAGAACCCTGGGATCATGACCTGAGCCGAAGGCAGACGCTTAAAGACTGAGCCACCCAGGTGCCCCTATATATTTTTAAACATTTTTATATACATTACCCTCACTTATGCTTTACCTGAAATTCTCTTTATTTTTAACAAGTTTTTCATGCCTCTCTTATTAAAACAGAAGTCCAAAAAATAGTCATTCCAGATCATATTAGAAGTGGCTGAAGTTGGGACCCAAGCCTAGGTCTTAATAAACTAGCTCTCAAAACAGGCTCAACCATCATCTCGATATGCCTTGCTGAACCAAGAGCTGTCATCTTCTATTCCAGATTGATGATAGATGTGTTATGAATCAGATGCTGACCCTGCCTTCAAAGACTGGGACCACATTACTCATCACCAACAAAATATGAAAAATACACTTTTATACATGCTAGTCATGTTTCTCAAACACATATGTCAACCAAGATCTGGTTAAGCAAACCTAATTTTCAATAGATTGACATAATTTAGAGATGTCTTCCTTAGTATATCTTTCTTAGCCTAAGTGGCAATAGGACCAAGCATTTCTTCTTGTCTTTCTGTATTTATTGAAGGATAAAAAGCATATAATGGGAATAATCACTTTTAATTACCTTTTTTATGGCTTTTTAAAAATTTAGATCTTTATGTATGAGATTTTCTTGGTCTATGGTCAATGACTCAAAGGAGAAAAACTTTTTTGGCAACTGAATATTTATTATAAACGAGTCACTGAAGTTCATGAAATATCCAAATGAGAAGGGAAAGTTTTACTTGGCAACATATATTAATCATTTTAAAATAATTCCATAATCTTTTTCACGTAGAGATTGTTTAGGAACACACATTAAAAAAAAAAAAAAAAAAAAAACCAGGATTCTGAGTATATCGTTCATTGAACAAGGATCTCCCTTCAACCAACCTACTCCCCACCCCAAATGTTTTTCACATAAGTTACACAAAAACAATTATATAGCAGAAACTTTAAATATCTTAAAGATATTAAGAAGAGGGTGATTCCTATTTTAAGAGAATCAGATCTTAGACACTAAGTTTCTCAACATAAAATGTAAATCCATATACCTGTAACATGATTAACAATGGAGACAACCAGATGGGGAAGCATGTAACGCAGAAGAGGACTGATGTCATAAATTTCAGAAATCCCATGAAGTATTGTAATAAGATCAGGAACATTACACAAGTGAGGAAATGGTCTTTGAAGAAATAAGTACATGTTAACTTTAAAAGTCACATTAATATGTGGCAATTTAAAAAAAAACAGTATAAAATTTATCTTTGAAAAGAATTATTCAAAATAACTTCATTCTCCTTTAATTACTATCATTTCTCAATTCAATTGTACATACTTTTTCCCAAGGCTCTCTGGCTTCTGTCTCTGCATGAGCACTATCAAGCAACCTAATCCATCCTTGATCAAAGAGGGAATTTTGGTCAGCGTTTTGATGATCTGTGAAGCCAACGAATTAACGAAGGTATCTTCCATTGTCACTTTCACAGATATCTGACATATTATCATATACGTTGCAGCTCTGTAATCTGGTAAAGATGATTTCAATCCCTAAATATTTTTTAAGATATAAGGAAAAATGATAAACTATACCACTGAATTCTACTTAAAGTGTCACTTTACCTTTCAAATTGAAAATGCCATAAATTAGAGATTAATACTACCTAACACACACTGAGAGTCAATCACTCCTCAGAAATTGACCTCTTTTCCTGAGCACACAGAGATAAGTCTCCTGGACGAGAGGAGGGATCTAAGAAGGTCTCCCAACTCAAATATCCACTATTTATGCTAACAGTGGCCAACACTGTTTATGCTAACAGTTTGCCTTTTCTAAAGGCAAACACCCACCAGTGTAAAGGAGACTTCAGAAACAAAACAGTGTCTGATTAAAGATAATAATTTTGGGACACCAGAAGTGAAAGCAGTAAATCCATGAGGAATCTGGAAGGGTGACAGGCAACAAGGCACTTGGGAAGAAGAAACACTGAGAAGCGCAAGTCACTGTAAAAAGAATAAAAGAGCCTATGCCTTGAGATTTTCTAATCCCTTCCTTTTCCGGTGAGTCAACATGACTGCTAAAAAAACAGATCTGGAAGACAGCGGCAGGGCCAAATAGCCAACGTTAATTCTTAAGGAACCCTAATTAAGATCCCACTTGGTTAAGTTTTTAAGACAAAAGAAGTCATATTTTTTTTTTACCAGAAAATTAAATCTTCCCGACCATCTGAAATAGGTCTTCAATTTTAAAATATTTATGTCTAAGTGAAATTTTTTAAAAACCAGGAAATTCCTTCAAGTATAAAATAATCTACCTTACGTATGAGCAGGACCAACCTTGTGGATGTATGGAAACAGCTTGGCAACTATATTATCCAATTTGTCCTCAGCAGTCACCAGAGCAGACACCATGGTAGAAGCATAAAATGTTAAAAGCACCCTCAACTGAGCTGAACTCCCAGGGTACTCAGCAAAAACCTAGAACAAAAAACACAAAGCACATATAAAAGTGAAAGCCCAATTAGATAAAAGCATAAGAATATTTATAGCTCTCCTCAACTACTTCAGGCTGACATGTTCATTTTTACCATATATAACATTAAATACACGAACTCAACGGTTCAATTAAGTATGACAAGAATGAACAATCCTGACATTTTTCGATCATCTCTTTATTTAAAGTCACTAAAAACAGGATTTGGCAAGAAACAGAATAATTCATCTTTGTAGGAAAACACCTTTGGTGATGAAAGACTGATCAAACTGCTCATGCTCCGGAACAGTAGGTCACTTAAAAGGAACTTCTTCAAAGTATAGTAATTAGGAAATGCCTCAGCAGGCTTTCTTCATTCCAAGCAAGCAATCTTTTAATGGAATTATATAGTCAAGAAGCACGGTATTACTCACCTTCACAGATTTTGTCACCAGACTACAAATGAAATCCATGAATCCGAGATC